TCGTCTGGCGTGCTCTTGGTCAAGGGGTCCGCCAATATAGCCTCCACATTGGCCAGAATCTGCTCATCTGGCACAGCCGTGCCATCCGCTGTGAGCACATCGAACGTGTAGAACTTGGTTCCTCTCTGCACGACCACGTGCTTGGAGCCAGGAGTCACCTTGAGTTCATCCCGTCCAAGCCTCGGCAGTCTCGTACTGGAGAACAGGTTCTTGTACTGCGACATATCCAGAGGATAAGCACCCAAGGCAGCAGCTCCATAAAAACTCACATTCTCCGGTAGGAGCTTACAGAAGTACTGGAAAGCTTTGGTCTTGCTGGTGTCTGGTTTAGTGTGGAAAATGTCGGGCTCCAGCTTCTTGTCACGTAGCGTGCGGAACACTCTGACGGATGACGCAATCAGTGACGCAGCACGTTGACTCTGCGAGTTCTTGGCAGGTACAGGGTCCATCTTGAGCTTAATCTGCGGGTTATAGTTAATGGGCAGCGGCTGACGGTCGTCCAGGTACATTTCGAGCCACCACTGATTAATGTACGACGTGTGCGTGTTGGCGGCGTCGCGGGCCACCAGTGCACGATGTAGCTCGGGGCCCACGCCATTCTGGAAGTCCAAGACAGCGCGTCGGGTCTCTGTTAGCTGTTCGGACGTCACTACGGGCTCCACAGCGGCCAAATAGCGCGTTAACGTGTCCTCGAGTTTGGGGATCGGTAGGCGCGTGAGGCTTTTCTGGAAGTGGTACGTCGGGATAACAGTTTCCTGCACGTAGCCAGCAGCAGAGGAGAAGGCGCGGCGCAGCACGGGGCGCGCGGATGCGGAAACCTGCAGCATCATGGTGAATGCGGAATCCGGAGTGAAGATGAAGATCGTTGTTGACGTACGGCACAGGCACCTGAGAATCCGGCGTGAATACTGGTACATGGTACCATTTTAATTTAGAATCTTTAGATATTTTAAAAGCGATTTCATCAGACCAAAACAATGTTTTCTAAATTTAGAATGCCTGAGTTTCGTGAAAAAAGCACGCGTGCATGGATTAGGCACAAAAAGGCTGGATTGCACGAGTGAAGAAAGTCTAAAATGATCCAAAATGTTTTTAAACTGATCTGAAGGGTTCAAAACGTCCAAACCTGTCTAAGATCCAGTAGTCTAGCGGATCCATGCTACCACAAGCATTAGCGCCCTCCATGACCATTGCCTGTGCTTTAGGCAGCGGTCCGCCTCTGGCAAGCTTCCCAGCAGCATCACCACCAGCTGTGCCGCGTACAGCATACCCAGGAGCGAGTACGTTCAAGTCGCCATCTGGCTCATGACTAAGAAGGTCGCCTCGCTACAGCCCGTTTCGTACTGGATTTTCATATTCAAGTCCATCTCAACAACATTTGCGGCAGTCTACAACTACGAGGCAGGTGGTACTCTCACCACAGACGACGCCATCGACACCATTTTGCCCCCCTTGCCCCCCCCCCCTCTGCAGCAGAGGAAGAATTGTTGCAGGACGGAGATAACTACGAAAATGTCGAGTCGCTCCAGCTACAAAATTTTCTTTCTTCTCTTTTCCAGGAGAAGTCAAGAAAACGCTGGGACTATGCGCACACAAAGGCCATGATAATCGCTTTCATGTTGACCCAAACTACAGATCTGGATGATTTTATTGGCTCAGACGACGGCAAAGAAGAAGGTCAAGCTTGTAAAATTGGCAGAGCGCTCCAGTTTGCGGCACCAACCACTGGCGTCCCTAATTGACAGCGGAATACTGACCTTTAACCCTTCTAGCCCGAGCTTTTATTCTGTATCCTACAGAATAAGGAATTATACTTGATAAAAGTATACTTCAGAAACCTCCCATAATTATCCTGCTGCAACCCCCTTCGCTCTCCATGGCCAAGAACTAGGCGAATTTTTCACAGAAACAGTACGACAGTGGACATAGCGTCCACAAAGTACCCAACAGCTGCGCAAATTGCGATTTTCTATTGGTTCATTTTCGGTTAGAGCACAGTCAATACCTGCATTCTACCATACCCGAGATTTTTGTTTAGGCTCATGAAGCCGATCGAGCAGCCCAACTCCTTGACGACA